GCATAACATTAGTCAAATAAGCATCTGATTACAATTTGTGATAAAAATAAGAAAAGGAAGAAAAAAGCAGCCATGAGGCTACGAATGGTTAGGGAAACATTTTTTCTGAAAATGCCTCTAAGTAGCTTAAAAGATGAGAAGAGTCCTCATGGGAAAAGAGCATTTCAGGCAGAGGAATAGCATAGACTGGGGCTACAGTGGAAATGGGGGCAGGGGAAGGAGAAGGCAGGTACAGCAGGAGCATGGGGAGGCTGGGGTGGGGTGAAATCAGAGAGAGAATCGGGGGCCTTGCAGCCACAGTAAGTGATGTATCAAGAATCTAATTTCATTAGGAACCCATTGAAGAGTTTGATATCAGTTGTTTATTTTGACATTGGATTTGGAGAAGGAATCAGAGAAATATATGAGGGATACGTCTTAAATCTATCTTATTTGTGATCAAGAATTTTAATATACTTAAGAAAACAATTACCTTTTCTTTGACTTGAAAATGCTCTTTATAGATACCTTCTTTAATTTCTCTGGAAGTATTCCACTGACTTTGGAGTATTCATATTGCCATACAGATTTAATTTATTTACTGGTGTATCCGTCTATCTACCAACCATTATTTCTTCCTTTAATTCAGCAAAGTTATGGAGTGACTACTCTTGCCCTCACGTTCATTAGGCTAGTAAGGAACAGACAAAAGAATCACACAATAATGAATTACACATGAGGAAAGGGTTGTGAGGGAAAAGTAAAAGCTGCTGTAAGAGTATCTGACAGAGGATGTCAGGGGCAGACAAGGACATGGGCTTCCCGAGGTGCGAGCAGAAGGAAGCTGGGTGAAGAGAAGTGAGAAGGTGCTGAGCAGGGAGACAGTGGTGTGCTCCGGAGCCTGCAGGGGGCTGCTGAGTTTGGCTGGAGATTGTTGATTACCCTTCAAGCAGTGAGGAATCAGGGAAGGATTTTTAGGTGACAGTATGACATTTGTGTTTTCAAAAATGCTTCAAACTGTTGTGTAGAGCATAGACTAGAGTGGATGAGGATTAACACAGGGGGATTCAGATAGCATGTAGCAACAGGTCACGTGTGGCATGTGTGAATGTGTCCCACATGTTACAGGGTGTTTGCATCCATGCTACTGTACAATATGTAGGTTAACAACTCCCATTTGTCAGAGCAATGAAACATCTTCTAGAATTCCAAACATTTCCTGCAGGGAGAGAAGGTTGTACCGCCCCTATTTGAGAATGACTGACGTGGGCTATGGCAGCAATCCAGGCTTTAGTTTTCTAAGTGAGAAGGTGCACGTCCCAGGAAGCATACACGATATCCACTGGGATCAGGGAAAGAAAGATTACAACTTTGATTCCTCTGTGGGTTGTATTTAAAAAATAAGAACACAGTTCACTTCAGTATCGTTAAATTGAGGGCTTGACTTTGGTGACCTCACTTGGCGGTTGTCGGCTGGGATCTTCTGAGGTCAGTACTGAGTGTGATCAGAGGGAAGAGTAGCAATTCCTGGTGATGCTGGTTGGCTTAGAGTCCCCTGTTTGTTTCAGTGCATGGCAGAATTGCACTGTCTGCATTCTTGGTTAATTAAAGATATGGATTCTATTACCTATTTTTAAATACAGTAATCCTTACAAAATAAGTGGCCAGAAACCATACATCAGTGTTTTTCTATACAGAAACCGTAGATCAAAAATAATATTAATAATACAACAAAGGCTAACAGAAAGAAAGCGGCAGATTTAATACTACTAGTTACCAACAGTTTGAGATAAAATATAGTGACATCAGCATACATAGTAAAAAGTAAGCTCAAAAATTAAAGTTATCTCTTAGAAAGATTCACCTGTACCCCTATAAGGTAAACCTCAGAAGTAATCCCTCCAAACCCCCTCCCTCCACCCATTCCCCCCTCCCTTTTCCCTCCCCCCTCCCCATATTCTTAGGCTATTTGGTTATAGCTTTCATATAAAAAGGTTTAAATTAGTTTCATAATAGGGGTGTGTACATTGGATACTTTTTCCTCCATTCTTGTGATACTTTGCTCAGAAGAACATTCTCCAGCTCCATCCATGTGAATGAACGTTTTAAAGCAATAACTGAGAAAATGACATGAAGGCTGTGTTGACCAGTTGATGGAAGTATTTCAGATTGCATGTGAAAACCCCACACTGTACCCCAGAAGTGCATTAATGTACATAGTTACCATTCAATAAAAAAAAAAAAAAAAGAAAAAAAAATTAAAGTTATCAAGGGGACATCTGAATTATGTATTTGCCTATACTTTCTGTTAAAGATGACTCTGACCCTAAATCTATATCCTGTATTAAAATATGCCTAGTGAGAATATACCATAATTACTATTTTAAGATTAAAAATACAGTAGTTTTATCTATTTTAAAAATGTAATGTGTAAATACAGGAAGAGTATAGATATATTTTATTTAAAAATATGGACAATAGAGAATGCATCTGAAACATTTTCTTTTTAGTAAATATGTACCAATCCCAAGCAGTTAATGATTTTCACTTAGGTGGTAGCAGTGGAAATGGAGATGATTAAATGTCTTCAAGAAATGTGTATGAGAAAGAAATACTAGAACTTGGTAATTGATTGGAAGAGATGGACATGAAGGAGAGAGACATTGGGTCAAGGCTGACTGCCATGTTTGCAGCAAGACCCAGGTGGCTGGTGGAACCATTTTTTTTTGAAAATTAGATTTGGGAGTTGAAGATCCTGAGTTAGGGTCACTTTCAGACATACTATGTTTGGGGTACCAGTGAGCTACTCGAGGGGGAAGGTAAATATTTCACTGTAAAGATCAGAAGAAAGAACTAGATTAGAGGTATTATTTGCTAGTGATCTCTACATAAATGATAACAAAAGGCATGAATATGATTCACATCACCTAGGGAGATTGATACAAAGTGAATGGAGAAGAGCGCTAGTGATCAGGCACTGAGAGCTACACTTCAAGGTCAGGATGGAAGAGAAGCCTATGCAGGGAATTAGAGGGAAAACAAGGACAGCAGGTTATTACGGAAATCCCAACCGAAAAAGCAGGGGATGTGGCTAAGTATGTGAAATGAGGCTGAGAATTCATGTTGAATGGGAGTTCAAGGGGACCCATTGGATTTAGCAGTGTGGAGGCTATGGGTAACCTTTAGAGAGCTATTTGGAGAGTTAAAATATGAAAGATGGAAGTCTGGTGTGGGCAGGCTTGTTGCTGAATGGGAGATGAGCATCTAGAACTATCACTCAGTTAAACCATATTTTTTCATTCCAAAATAATATTTTCTTTCTGATTATAAAAGTTTACTTTTTAATTTCTGAAGATTGAGGAAATAATAGAAACCAAAAAGACCCCCAATTTCCCAGTTGATGTCAATTAATATTAATCTATTGTTTCTCTCATATATTTATTTGTTCATATACCATTAAACTTTTTATTTCAATAAAACATTAGTTTATTCCTTCCAAACTGTTTGATTGTGTATCTTGTTAGAGAGGATGAAAGAGAAAAAAATAGGCACTAACATTTATGCATCTTTGATACAACACCCTTTACACGGACTATTATCATTATTGTTTACTGTTTTACAGGTTAGGGAACCAAAGTTGAAAGGGATACTTTGATCATTTAAACTTTCCTAGTGAGTGTTAGAGTCAGAATTCAAACCCAAGTTCATTCAACAAATACTTCTTTGGTACTGACTCCATGGATTGTCTTAGCCCTTAGAACACATAAGTACTTGCCTCTGCAGAGCCGAGACTCTCACAGAGCTGGAAGCAAAGACAGACAGTGAGTCAGAAGGTGACAAATACTGTGTAAAAACTAAATTTGAGCAAAGTAGAGAGGACCCAGAGAGGATGGCAGGTTTCAGTTTTAAATTGGGAGGTCAAAGCAGACTTCCTTGGTAAGTGGACTCACTTTTCTTCCTACCACCCTTTGCTCCTACCTACGTGTAAATGAAATGCATTATATCTGCTTACTCTCGACCTCCTTGCCAAATTATGGCCGGAGCCTTTCTGAGTTATTTTGTTGCTGTGAACATATATCCTCTTTCCTTTATAAAGAGAGACAGTGAATTTTACATTCGCTTTAATATTTTCACAAACCTCACCTCATTTAGAATTGTAGCTTTCCTTATAGTATTTTTACAATCCATTTCCTCTCTCATTGTATTCATTATGTTTTTCACGGTGTTTTCACATTATTTAAGCATGCCCTACTTTAAATGGATGTGCTTTTGAAAAATTACATGTAAATGGAATTGGTGTGAATAACATCAAATTGTGAATTCCATATCATTTTCTTTTATCACTTGAGTAGTTTATGCCTTATATCTTTCATGTTAATTTAATATTTTAAATTATTGGGCTGTTTAATGTATGTATGTTGGGCCAGGTGCAGATATGGCACAGCTTATAAGAAGTCAACTTGTTACATTCTTTAGCTAAACGAAGTATAGATAATAAAAAATAAGAAGTGGAAAAGTGGGGTGATAAATTTCAGTGTGCAATGTTTAAGGCAATCTTAACCTTTTACTATAAAAGTCAGATCGAATTGAAAGAATCATTGGAGAGCAATGTCTTGTGCCATTTATGCCACATGAAAGAATTTCATCTAGACCATAAAAGATTTTGCTGAAAAGGTTTGATGTAGAATGGCAAGTAACCCCATCATGGTAAGAAAGTTATTGTTCCCAGAAAGTGGTTTCTCTAGGAATGTTTAAATCCAGCAGCTGTGGGGAGTGGAGGATGGTTGGGGTGGAGGGGACACAAATTAAATGCACATAACTTGTGGGAACCGTAATTAATTTTCTTTGCCCATTAATTTGGGCATTAAATCCTGTTTATTCCAAAAGCAGTTTTTGTTTTTATGCCAGTTACTACATACTTGATAGGAGAAATTTGAATAATACGTGCTATATAGATGATAAGTGGGTGTATTTTCAGGTTTTTCACTATAACATAGTTGGTATCTTTGGGTCTTTTCTAGGTTTGTGACTTGGCTTTTAGCCTGAAGAAAATGCTGATCCGACACAAGATGACTCATAATCCCAATCGTCCACTGGCAGAATGCCAGTTTTGCCATAAGAAGTTTACAAGGAATGACTACCTCAAAGTGCACATGGACAATATCCACGGTGTAGCTGACAGCTAATGGGAGCTGTAAAGGAATTAAACCATTCAGAAAGGCTCCTAATAGGAATCCCAGATTTGTCTCACCTGATCAGCATAACAGAAGTAGCCAAAAGTAACTTACTGGCTTCACGGTCCTTATTTACCTACCTTTAGACCTTGTAGATGCATATCCAAAATAAAAAAAAAAAAGAAGATGAAGAACAGAAGTGGTTCAAATGGAAAAAAACAAACTACTCCATAGCCTTGCAGAATACAATGTGTGCTGTCTTATAAAAATGGAAAAAGGAATCAAGACTCTTTCTTGGTCATTTCTCTGTAATGAAGTTTATTAACATACTCCTAGTAGGCCTTTTTATTTTATTGTTATTGTGTATGTGTGTGTGCGCGCGCGCATGTGTGCCTGTACTTACAAATGCTGATTATTGCAGGTGGTTACTACTGATCTAAATAGAAAGAAATCAAGATCTCCAACTATTTCTTTACAAGTAATGGTAAAAGCAAGAGTTATCAAAGTCTCAAGCATGCTAGTGAAATAAATACTTGCTAAAAAACAGACCATCCAACAAACAAGTTAAAAATAAAGAGATTTGAGATCTAAAACATCTATTAAAACATTGCTCATTTTAGAGAATTCTTAGGGAACATTATTTGCTCTCATTAGTCAGATACAGACATTCATGGTCTGGAATACTTTTATAAGATCTACATAAAAATGGCCAGAACATTTAAATATTCATTGGGCTGCCCCTCCTGAGTTTACACTGTTTATATTTAGAAAGCAACAATATACAAACTATATATATAACTAAAACTAGAATAGGTTCCCCATGCTTGTTGACCGAGGGGCAGAACACTGCCACATCACTTATGATGAACATAACCCTTTACCCTTCCATTTCATAGAAACGCAGAGCATGTTCCTGCAGATAGAATAGAGTCCTCAGAGCATTCACATTCCACTTTGTAAAAGACATTTTCCAGAATCTTGGCAGTAGGTGATTCTGAAACACTTCTGAATTACCCTCAATCATCTCATATAATTAGGAATCCAGAATAAAAAATACAAATCTGGCAGTTGTTATGATTGAAATTGTTACTGATATTTAAAGGAAATTGAAGCAAGAAGCATAATTTCTTCCTTTAGGTTATATTTCAGTGATACACTTGACAACAGCCTACAATGAACAGCTTGTCTGGGAGTCAGTATGGTACAATGCAATAGTGATGTCAAAATAGACTAGAGGAATGGAAGAAAACAGAGAAAAATAAAATGAAATCAAAGTCATGAACCTCTCTAATTGGAACCTACTCAAAAGAGATGAAGTCTAATTTTAAGGAAGTTATTGGTTCTAATGAGTTGCGAAAGGTTATCTGAGACACAGTTCTTGACATTAGGAATCTCACTTTAGAATTATATTCATGTCCAATCCCATCTAAGTTTAAAAGGAAACTTAAAGATTCAATATAGACACTTAAACCCTGTAAAATAGCCAGAAGCTCTGGTACTTCTTACTCCATCTGCATTCCCTTTTGTCTAATAAACTCCTAGGGGTAAAAAAATTTTAAATATTGAATTTGAAACTCGTCAGAGATAACTTTTAAAATACAAATCCTAGAATTGAAGTTTAGAAGTTATCTAAACATGGCTATATATAGCATTTTATATCTGAAATTATAGACTGTATTTTATAAAAAAGTTTAGTCTTATTTCTCATGTCATTTGTTTCAACAATATAGTTTTAGATCTAAAGCGTTTTCAGTGTAACGTGACCATACGCTTCCTACATTTGAATATGAAAGGAGCGCTGTGAGATTTGGTGGTGTGTATTATTTAAACGTACCCTGCGTATTCCTTTGGGTGCTGCCTTCTCTATACAGGATGCTTATCTCCTGATGATGTGCTAAATGTGAGATTTGAAGGGAATCCAGATACCAATTTTGTGTAATCTCAGTGCATCACAGTTCGCCAGGCTGCTGGGGAAATTATCCCTGAAACCATGGTGTCATCCTGGAGCAAACTGACAAGGGAGAGGTGCTGGACCTGCTACAGCCAATAGACAAGGAAATCTTCAGAAAATGAAGGACCTGCTGCTACGCGTACATAATCCTCTCCTGTTCTAGGGCTGGAACAATAACAAATCCTTAGAAGACAACAAGGGCTGGCCGGAAAATATCCAGCCACTATTTTTTTGTATTGCCTGGCTGGATACTTTCCATACAGCTCTCACATTTGTATTGCTGAAAACTTTTATCCAAAAGATGATTATTTATAGTTTCAAAAAATATTAGCAATTGTGTACTGCATGTTTTAAGTCACTTACTAATGACAAAAGTGAGATTCTTTTTTTAGGCTTGATTGACAAATTAAAAACATAAACAGATAGTCCTGTAGGAATTGGCTTATAGGGAAGCTGAGGTGCGGGTACCCACTTGGAAGTGTGTTTCTCCTGTTTCCTGCTGTGAAAGATTTTGACTTGGATTCTCTCCCAGGAAAAGGCCAACCTATCAGGTGCCCATGAAGTCTAAGTCATTCAGAATTAGTAATTGGCTAAATAATTTTAAGGGAAATTCATTGAGGTAAATAGGTTTAGATATCCTTTTGTAATTATCATCTTTTTGTTATATTAAAACTCGAGGTATTTGTGTATCTTGAATTTCTTCTTTTTTCACGATCACTGGATTATGTTTTCCTCTTTTCATTTATTCTGTCCTTTCTTTTTTTGTCTGTCTTACTGGTCATATAGAAGCCTTCACTGGTTAACTGTGATCAGCAGTTGCAGCATAAAAGTAGTTTTGGTTCTCCGTTACACAGGATAGTTAAAATGCAACTTCCAACAGACATGTTAATTATAACCTCTGACTGTGTGGGTGTTTGTGTGAAGAGGATCACTTTCACGCAGACTTACAAAAGTACATTACTCTGCTCCAAGATCTGCCCTGTTGCAGCGTGAGCGTGTGAGTGACACGGATCGCAGAAGGTCTCACAGCTGTGGTTTGCGTTTCAGATGTTATGTGCTGCCACCTCTCCTAAAGCTGGAGAGGAAGGAGGATAGGTTTAGAAATATTCAGTTTTTTCCTTCACAAATCTGAATGTTGCTTATGAAAACCCATCTCGGGATTCTGAATATATGAAGGCAGGCAGGGAGGAGGAAACGTGCCTCTTTTAACCCCTGAGATTTTATCATTAATATTGACATTTATTTGCATGTATATAAGTGGAAACTTTGTAAATATAACTGAACTCCAATACATTTTTATTTTATTATAAATCTATATAAATCCCTACCAGATTTTGCATTAGCATTTGATTTTACTATAGAACTATAATTAGTATATTTCTACCATAAAATCCAAATGAATATTTTAAGGTGGTTTTTGATGAAAGGAGGAAGTATTATTGCCATTATCTCTGGGCTTCATGGCTTTATAGTTTACACATCTAAGCCTTTCTAGAATTGGAATGTAATGCATTTTTAAAGTTGAGCCATGTTGGTCTCAGGGCAGTAAGAACACTTTCCTTGCCTCTCATCTCATTCCTGGTCATACACAGAACAACTTACCCAAAGCAACATCTCTAAGAAGCCTGAATGAATGGAATCTGACATGTAGTAGCATCTTGAGCAATAATAGCCTGGTGCTCACAAATACAGTGTCATGGTAATGAAAGTTATGGCTAACGTTTGGGGTATTCCTTTAAAAAAGTGTATTTTATTATTTTTGTGCTGCCCTAATCATCTAAGATTTCCCAGATACAAAATAATCATCAGCTTGAGTAACAGATTTGGAAATGATGCGTTAACTTTGATTTCTCAGAATCAGCTGAGGCACTAGTTCTTTGGGAAAGACTTAGAGCCTAGGCTTGCCTCTAAACTGTGTTCTCACCCCGTGTTATTAATTTGTGGTATGACAATAAAAAATTAACTCTGGAGCCTTTCGTGTTTGTTATGTCAAAATATTCCGGATTTCCCAGGCTCAAGGAATAGTACGAAATGTAGCAGCTATCTTATACTAAAATGGTGCTGCTGATTCAGTGTCCAAATTTCTTTTCTTCCTTTAAAAAATGCTTAAATGATATGGAAACATTTATATTTACTAACAAAATGTGTAGTATTTAGTTAAATATAATTTATAAAAAATTAGTTCCCTAAAGATTTGATAGCACATACGTGATAGCTTCCTAGTCATGTAAACATTTAGCAAATTAGAATAAGGTCTTATTCCTTGGACCCATGCCATCTAGCATGTTACATAACAGAAGAAAACTAAGACTTATGATGCATGTTTCAAAATGGAGAAAGAATGTAGAATCATGGAAGCTTGATCATCTAAGTTAGTGCAAAGAGCTCAAATGAAGTATCACTTCTGACAAGAAAAATTCTAGACCTACTAGAAATTAATTGCATTTAAAAAGTTAACATAATTTGTATAAAATTATACAATCAATAGTATAAAAATGAAAAGAATCACAGTTCATAACGGATACGTGAATCAGTCCATTAGTTCATTTTTTTTCATTTGTCTTATAAACCATCTAATAATGCTTTTTTTTCTTAAAGTTAATTTTGTCTGGTATCTTTTACTTATTTGGCATATCTTTTAAAAAATTCTTTACTGAAAACTTCCCTGAGATTATACAAAAATTTTAGATTTGTTTAATGGATGACTGATGCTGAGAGTGCTCATTTTTTTTTTATCCTGAGAGCCAAACGCTTTTCTGGCTGTGGTGATGAATTGATCCTGCCTTTCTCACAGTCTCATCTGCTCTCATTTGGATGGCTGACTGGGCTTGCATTGCAGTCTGTACTCAAAAAGAACATGGTACTTTACACTTAACATGAAGTTCATCATCACTGGTGCATAAATCTGATAAAAACAAGGCACAGTAGACATAAGCCAAGACCCTCCTCTGCACAGTTCTAGCTGACTCAGGTACCTGCTGATGCACAATGTAACACAAAAGAGATTCTTTAAATTATTATTCCAGGGGCTTTAATACCATGGATGCAAAGCTGAACAACTTCATTGTTGGAATTAGTTGTTCAAACAATACATCCTTTACTCATTCTTTAATATTTGAATGAAGACACCCATAAAAAAAGAAGTACATTGGTCCAGCTCTGTATTTTTTCCTTTTCTAAAACAAATATTAGCATCTAGAGAACTGAAATTGGCTTCAGTGAACAAAAGAATAGCTGAAAGTTGATTCTTTGATACAGAAGCAAAATATATTGTTCCTTGGCTAGGAGTAGAAAAGTGTATGGTGATCGGGACCAATACCACGTTTAACTGATTATAATACTTTCATTTAAATTGGCAAAGTGATAAGTGTGTTTCTAGAATATTACTGTAATTAAG